ACTTAACTTGTTATGTTTAGTTTTTCTGTATACCAGGCTTTATTCCTTAGCTAATAAGGACAACCGTGGGCCCAAAATCTGCTTTAGAATATTGATTGGTAATAGCACAAATATGGTTCATAATGCTCTAAAAACAATCTGTGTGAAAGATGACAATTTTTTGTCAATATGTTAGGCGCGCCCAACCAACCACATCAGTAGGCATAGCAACAACGAAGAATGGTTGTTGTTGTTGTAGCAGCATACAAATTCCCCAAAGACTTTTTGGGGAGTGTTGCTGGAGTGTGCTGGGTGATGTCGGCGAAAACGAAGAGCGGAGGTGTGATGTTTGTCATGCAGAAAATCTACGCACGCACTTTTATATATGCGGAACATTAAAGACGACAATCAAAACAGCCTACTGCTTGGTGTAATGCCGTGAAGGTGTTCACTTTGCGCTGCGTTAACACATTGAAGGCTTGCGTGTGTCATTAAAATAAATTTGATTTAAAAGCTTATAACAAGTGTGGGTTACGACAGATTGTAATTAGCATTTTTATGCAATTAATGATTGCAATCAAAAATTAATTGGAATCAAAAATGTATTGCATTCAATTTATTTTAACTGATTGCAAATTTTAATTTTTGCAATCAAAATATAAGCAATCGATGTTGATTGAAATTAAAACAGATTGCAATATTACGTAAAATATGCGATTGCAATCGAATTTGATTGCAATTTTTACAGCCTTGCCTGAAACTGAGATATTGTGAAATTCAGAACCTCCCTGTATAAAGCTAAACCATATTGGTTACAAAATTAATAGATAAAAATCAATTGTATTTAAGGTGAAATCTAATATGCTGTCATATAGATAAATCAGGGGGCGTTCAGAAATCACGTGATCATTTTGTTGACATTTTGATTTTCATCCGGGATTTTCATCCGGACCTCCGTCAGAAAACACAAAAATAGCCGGCTTAACACGTCCACCATAACCTTTTATCACATTTCGGAAAATCGACTTTTTACTCCTGAAAGTCGAATTTTAGTGATCGACTTTCAGTTTATGGAAGTCGACTGAAGTCGACTTTTCACTTTCGACTCTCGACTTTTTTTAATTTATTTGCCAATAAAAACTGATATTCTAACAAGCGCGCGGAGTGTTGTTTGGTCGTATTTAAAAAAAAATTTCAATAAAACTGAAGTGAAATGTGAAAAGTGTGGTAGCGAAATGAATTTTAATGGCAGTACAACAGTACAAATCATTTAAGAGCAGCGCATAAAATTATTATACGAAAACGAATTCCTCAAATTTGTTAATCGTTTGTCTCCACAATCTTCAGTTAATAATGAGGTAAGATAAACATATTATATTATTATTATATTTATTTTAACAATTTCATGCAAGAAAGTTTTTCTGCTTGAGTTTATGTAAGTTTTTACAGACTGTCTTTGGTTCGAATTTGACCAATCCGTAAGGTACAAAATTTTAAACACCGCTAAAAAACGTTGCTGGTAGGATTCCAGTTAATATGCGACATTAGTCGTGTGGATAGTCCCAATCCACTAGCTGTCTGGGCTACTCCCATATTTATCCATGCTTATAAAGTGGTACTTATATTTCTACCAAAACCCGCCAATTCTGCTCCATCGGAAAGGCCACATTTTTCAAAAAGTTGTCCGTAATTACCAAATATCGATTCAAAAAATTTGTAGAATTTTTTTTGTGAGAATTTAAACTTTTTTTTGCAAAAATAAGCATTTTCATGCTTTAGAACTGGAACAAAATCCAAAATTTTTAAAAATCCTATAGTGTGTTTTTTTTTTACCTAGCATTGAATTTCACTAAATTACAGATTATTCTAAAGACCACTAGTAAATCATGATATTTTTGGCGTATTCTGACTCCTATATTTATAGCTAATATATGAGTTAAATGCAGAGTATACTTAATACACTTTCTTTTTATTAAAAAAGTCGAAAAAAGTCGACTTTTCTTCGTGGATCGGTCGACTTTTAAATTCGACTGTACAGAGTCGATCGAAAAGTCGAAAGTCGACTTTCTAGTGAAGTCGAACAACCCTAATCAGCCTCCGACTTAATTTAGCAGGAATCGCAAATATGTCGCGCTTCTAGATATTTGGCAACCGAGATGTAACAATTTTTCATGAAGGTCGCTTAAGGTTTGAGATATTTTTTACAAGACTCAATACGTTTTTTGATTTTAGAAATTTCGTTTGATTTGCCACATTGTATTCAGCTTTCAGTAAAGAAAGTTGATTCCGCAGAACATCCTGCGCTGGGGTATTACGACAAATTGACGTAGTAAACTCTTCAGAGTTATTGCTATTTTGAACTACGTGTGTGTTGTTGTTGTTGTTGTTGTTGTAGCGGCTACAACAACCCCGCCCAGATCGGTTGGTATCTCAGTCGTTGTCGTCAAGTTCCACTAACGGCAACCCTAGGAAGCGTGCATCTTCTGCGGGGTTTGCCCACAGGGACAAGGCCGTTAGGGTTGTCGGGTTTTCCGGGCATGCGAAGAGATGTTTCGAGTCATGTGGGGTCTCTCCGCATGCCGGACATTCGTTCGGCACATCCTCATTCAACCTACTCAAGTAGGAGTTCAACCTGCTGCAGTAGCTGGAGCGAAGTTGTGCGAGTGTAGTGCGTGTCTCCCGAGGCAGATGAAGCTCCGTCTCGTCTATGTCCGGGGGTGGTGTGCCTAGAACGGCATTCACAGGTCTAGAGTCTACATAATTCGAGACTGAGTCCCTGTGAATGCCGTTCAGGGCCTCTCTGTAAGCTGTCGGGTCCAGAGGTTGCTTAATGAACCTCTGGACTTCGTCCGTTAGTTCATATAGATGCCTCCTGACGTGCCTAGGCGAGGGCTCCTCTGCAAGCAGCTGTCTGCTTGGGTGGCCACTTCTGTGGCTCCCGATCAGGAACTGCTTGCAGAGCATTATATTATGCTCCTTTACCGGGAGCATTTGCGCCTCGCCGTGCAGGTGGTGTTCAGGCGACATCAAGAGGCATCCCGTCGCTGTCCTGAGTGCGGTGTTTTGTACAGTCTGTAGCTTCGTCCACTGCGTCCTACTAGTCCCTGGCGACCACACTGGCGCTGCGTAGTTCAAAACCGGCCGGCCTATTGCCTTGTATGTTGCCAGCAACGTTTCTTTGTCTTTGCCCCAAGTACTGCCGGCTAGCGACTTGAGGACCTTGTTGCGGCTCTGTACTTTATTGACAATAGCGGTTGAGTGGTTTCATTCTGGCTGCAGTCGGTTTCAACTGCGGGTGTAGAACTATCGTTCAGTTGAGGCGTTTCTTTATCATTGTTCTGAAATGCACAACCTTTAAATAAACTAAAATCTGTCATCACCTTTTCATTTGGGTTTTGTAAGTACTGGGCAATATTGGCGATCTTAACTTTTGTCGTTGCCTGCTGTAGCTCTTTAATTCTATTTAAAATAATGGTTTCGTTATGAGTTTTGTCTGCACAAGTTTTCTTAGCATCTCTCCAGAATATGTTTGTACTTTCCTGGCACGCTGCTTTTGTTTTATTTGTATGTCGTGCAACATATGCACGAAATAGCTGCAAATGTAGATTGGAATTCATTTCACCATAACTTTTTGAACTTAAATCATAGAAAGAGTTTGAATAATAATACCGGTTTACAGCAAAAATGTTCTATGGATGCCACTATCCAATTCCTATGTAGAATTGCTCGGCGACTCCGAAAATCGAGTTAATTTTTTTTCTATGGATACGTTTTCAAGATGTTTTCATTTTACCGTTATTCAGCTTAAAGCAAAAATTGGTTTCTTTTAATCACGTATATCTTACGAACCAATTTAAAAATCTTAATATAAAATACGGCAAATGAAAGCTAATGAAATTCTCCATAACCGTATATACATCGCTTCCCGATAGGGCGTATAGTTTCTGACAAATTAATTAATCATTCCAGCTTTTTTTATTTTTTAATGAAAAAATTAAAAAAAAAATCAAACTGTAACAGAAGAAAAATTTAAAAAATTACAGGTTCTGGGCCAAATTTTGGCATTTGTACTAAAGCCTGTTCTGTTACAAAAAAAAAAATCAAATTACTAACAGGCCAACCTAATATTACCGGCGTGAATTTTTCTACGCACGCACGCAAGTTTTTCACATTTGAGTAACCGAAATAAATTTGCGTGCGTGATTTTTCAGAGTTGCATTTCTGTCCTATTTCAGAAGTTGAGCAAAATTTGAGCATAAATGCAGAATAGTTTCGATTCTCAAATTTAAAAAAAAAAACATATGAGGATCGATAGTGATCATTAAGGTGAGTTTTCTTGCAGACACAACAACTACAATTTTTTAAATCAAAATTTCTTAAAGACGAATGTATGGATTTTAAAAGTTTTGGTGTCAATGGATAGGAAATTTAGTTCCCTTTAATTTGATATACATACTTTATATATGCCTTGTTTAGTTTTCACAAAAATCTTATTAATGTACGCAGAAAGGAATTCCGCTTCTCCAGGCTTTCGTTTTCAAAAAATTTTGATTTAAAGAATTGTTTAATTTGAACTTTGACTCTTAATAACTTCTGTAGTTGTTGTTTCCACAAAAAATAAATATAGCCTTATGTTCAGCTCGATCATCTCTATCGACCCCAATACTAATTTTTTTAATTTGAAACTCGGAGCTATTCTGCATTTGTTCCAAAATTTTAATTCATAGTCGCGGCAAAAAAATAAAAAAATGGAAAAACTGGAATGAGTAATTAAATTGTCAGAAAGTGATGTATATATGGTTTATGGAGAATGTCATTAGCTTTCATTTGCCGTATTTTATATTAAGATTTTTAAATTGGTTCGTAATATATACGTGGTTACGACGATCACGTGATAATACGAAACACTTCGATATTCGAAAAACATACATAGATGCAAAAAACCGCTATATATAAAAAGTTTGAGGTCGATCGCCTTAAAATGAACGCTCAGCGCTTTGAAACAACTCATAGATACTTACTTCTCGCGCTTTGCTGCCTCGATGTTCAACTGCAGACGCTCATTGAGAAACTCTATCACTCCGTTCTGTTCCATCAAGAGCGGCACATGATAAATTGAGCTCAGATCGTGTATGCATATAACTTGATCGGGAGCAACATGACAGAAATTACTAATTTTTTCCTTCACTTCCAGTCCAATTGGCTTCTCCGAGCGGCAAACAATCAAATCAGGACTCAAGCCGAAGCCGCGCAATTCACGCACAGAGCTCTGGGTGGGCTTTGTTTTCGGTTCACCGGTGGAACGTGGCGATGGCACAAGCGAGACATGTGCGACGCAAAAATTTTCACGTTTCACACGAAATTGGAATTGGCGAAAGGCCTCAACGAAAGGCATACCCTCAATGTCACCAATCGTGCCACCCAATTCGACAATACACACTTGCGGCTGTGAATTTCCTTGTACTGGGCGTTGTGCTACCCGAGCTACCCACTCCTGAATGGAATCAGTAATGTGAGGTACAACTGAAAGTGCAATTATTTACTATAGCAAATTATAAGAGGGAATGACCATTGAATTACCTTGCACAGTTTTACCCAAATATTCACCGGTCCGTTCTTTCTCAATAACTTTTTGGTAGATCTTACCAGTTGTTATATTGTTGTCACGGTGCAAAGTTATGTCCAGAAATCGCTCATAATTTCCCAAATCCAAATCGACTTCGCCGCCATCATCTAATACGTAAACTTCACCTTTGACGAAAACGAAACCAGAAAATATATTTAACATTTTAATGTGAATTTTATAATTTAAATTCTAAAATAAAGAAAATAGTTCAAATGTTTGCAAAAGCCTAGAGGCTGGTTTCCATTGAGTTTTTTTTAACAAAATTTGTCGGCATATTTTGATACAACTTTCATCTCCTTAATCCTTGCCGTTACTGATAATAAACGGTTTTGCCCAGAAATGTAAACAATTAACTCAGTTTGTATGGAAGACTTAGCCGACATAATTATATCAAATAAAACCCGCCTAATGTTATGATCCAAACGCTACCAGATAGGCATTTAAGCAAGGCTTGAATACTAAATGAAATTAATCGTAATGCTGTTAATAATGATAATAATATTTTGGCGCATACACTTTTGCTAAGTGTTTGGCCGGGCTTCTCCTGCAATTTGTGGTCAGCGTCTTCATGTTGTTATACAAATGGAGGGACATACAGTTTTAAGTTTTAAGTTTAATTTAGATGTTACCTAGACCAGGAATCGGACCCAGATCCTACGGAGCGGTAGTACGCACCTCTGACAACTCATCCACAATCTGTTGACATAGTGAAAACAAGAATTAATCATGCCTATTACGGTATCCGACGGATGCCATTCGTACGAATCTAATCTTTCACTCTCGCTTGTTATGACAGTGCGAATCAGATTAGATCCATGCGGTTGGCATACGCCGGATACCGTAATAGGCATGAATGTGTACTCCTATTGTATGCTCAACCACTTACCTCAAATTACATTAAAAATATATTTTAATATTAAACCACTGAAGTTTCTTAGAATTAATTCACAATTTATTAATGACTTATGTAAGCAAATAGTCACGTTTGCAAACGTTCAAACTAGAGTTTCATATTCAATGCCCCGCGTTGCGGATACTACACAAAGTAGCAGTATATGTAGGTATACTTACAACTAAGCAATACATCTAAGTATTCATTCATACATATGTATGTGTATATTTACAGTCTTATATAATGAGCTTTAATGTTACAAAACTAAAAAAGAAGTCGTGTTCACAGTTTCTAATGAAATGAGCAACTAATTCCATTATGACTTAAACCAATTATCCTCCGATTTATTTATTTGGTCTCCTCCAAGTCCTCTTTATATAGCTCCTTGAATATTAGCTTTTGTATTTTAGTCCGTATGCGCAGTTTTTGCGCCGCTGTCAGCTGTTTCATGTAGGGGTGTAAACTGAGCAGGTAGTGATAGTCATCATCTTCCGGTACCAGCGGTGCTGTATTATCCATCGTGGACGACCCATTGAAATTACTATCCTCCGACAACCGCGGACGCTTTAACTTCAGCGCCGGTATTAAACCATTCGAATATGAGTGTTTGGTAAAATTCAAATGCTCATGACTGCCGTGCAAGCAACTGCTGCTTCCGTTCAAGGAGAAATCTTCCCGCTCCTTATTCAACGCTGCGGCTACAGCCGTAGTTAGTGCATTGGCGGCGGCGGCAGTTGTTGGTGGGGGGTGATGCGCTTTGTTGTATAATGGTGGCGGTGAAACAGAGCGTATCTTGTGTTGCTGAGTGGCGACTGCCAGCGAATTTGCGGCAACATTGGCTGCGCTAACTATGCTCGAGATGGGGGTTGATGGTGGTGTGATGGTTGTAGTTGTTTGTGCAGTGGTGGTGATTGAGTGGCCGATGCAAGCACTCAGTAAAATTGAGCTGTCACTGCTTGTCAAGGAGGTACTGCTGCAGTTGTTATTCACAGTAGTGTTGTTATTGTTTGCTTCTATTGATTTCTTTGACAAGTCCTGCGCCTCCTTTTCGCCATCATCATCGATAAGATGTGCGGCTCGTAGTAAAACGCCAGCGCTTTTTAGAATCGAACGTGCATCTTCTGTTTTGATGGTGGTTGATGTTACAGAATTTGTGTGCGCCGCTGGCGGAGTGGGGACAGCGGCGTCGTCATCATCCTCATCGGCATCATCTTCATCGAACTCTTCATCGCTGTCTTGCATGCGACGTATAAGCCCATTCGTGAGATCTGGCTCAACCACAGTCTTCTCACAATCCTGACTCTGTTGTGTAAAATAGTACGACTGATCTTGTTCGCCTTTAGGCATCCGATGACGCATATGATCAGCTGTAACAGTAAATTAGGTTTAAATAAACGAGCTTTTGTACTAAACGATGTGAAATCAGCAGAAAGCAGTGTATACAGGGGTGGCACAAATAACTTAAAATTGGGTGGAAGGAAGAAACTTGCAAACAAGAAACTTCTATTCTTATTTCGTTTAACTAAAAATCTAAATCGTCTACTTTCCCCAGCATACTACTATTTTCCGCTGCTTTCATAAATTCCATTTTCCATTATACATATGTATTAAGAACTCACTCAAAAATAGCAAAGCGTAATAATGTATCCACTTAGACTCGAATGTAGCTGGTTCCACTAGGAAATCTCCTTGTTCAGAGCGGGGAATGCGTTTGTATTCTACACGAAAATTATCTCGAAGTCCCTTCCATTTAGCCTTGAGAACTACCTCTGCATTGGACAAGTCACACAGCAAGACGTGTTTACAATCACAAAAAAAAAAATAGCGGGGGAAAAGACGAAATAGAAATAAGAACCAAAACAAGCATGGAAACATGTGCTTAATCGGTGAACGGTAAACTACTCACTGGGCAATTTATGTGCTGCGGACAGCTCATCCCACATTTGTTCCAGAAATGCTTTGTTGCAGTGGAAGTTGCGATTCCAAATGGCTGGCCGTTCCTGGACGTCTCGTATAAATTGCTCCACGTTGAGGACGATTGTCGACTTCTTCGGTGCCATTAGTAGAGGGATGTTTTGTGCCGCCAGTTTTAAATTTTAATTTAAATGTCTCAGTAACCTGCACACGGAGTAAAAAAAGCGTTGGTTAAGCGTTATAACAGCTAGTAAGAGAAGACGCGCGCGCCGATTCGTTCGTTACTGCTGACTGATTGAAACGTTCATTTCCGACTGATTGCTTAGCTGCCTAACTGCCTCTCTGCTCGTAGATGTAGCGTGCCAGAATGCTGTGAATGGCAAAACGGAATAGGATCGATTGAATAAAGTGGCGTGGGGCGGAGCAGAGCAAAGTGCATGAGTGAGCAGTGAGCTAGTGAGCGTAGCGATGCCACTGATGAACAACTAGCGAAGGCTACAACTTGTGACTGCTAAGTGCATATACCACAGCCGCCGGCACTGCGTACGAATTCAAAGCAAAACGTCGACAGCGATTTTTCAAAAACAAAATCAAGTAGAAATAAAAAAGCCTCACCTACAAGCGAAACACTGGAAGAAGGACAATACCAAAGGCAATGAAGCAAGACAAGGCGTAGTAGTACATAGTAAACGCGGCAAGTGAGCAGAAAGGCACACACAAGTCGACTATATAAAAGCGAAATGCTGACAACGCGGCAGGGGAACCAAAGCCGCTTAGGTCGGCTGAACCGCTAGCTGTCTGCCGATTGTACGGACAGGCGTGCGACGACAGCGGAGGCTTTGCAAAGCATTGCAAATTATGTCGGCTGGTCACACACTCAAACAGCCAGCGGTTGGCGAGCGAGGACAACATTCATCCACGGTTTTGCGGATGGCAAATAGCAAGATGGTGCGAACAAACAAGCACATATTCAGCACGTCACCGTTCTTATACACTTCCATATATACACACGCACAACGAAAAACTGGAGTATCAGCCGCCGCGACGCGAAGAACAAAAAGAAAACGTGATGATGATAATGATGATGATTGTTGCTGTTCATGTAGTCTCAGGCGATGAGGGGCAAAACACAGACAGTAAGCAGAACTCACCGGCAGCTTCAGTTGCGACGACGGGTAGCTTCGCGCCAAATAACAGATGCAGCTGGCGGATAATTTGACACGTTCATAGCGTGGATGGCGGCGACAGTGAATGCAATGATTGAAGAGGTGACCGCGGTGGAGCGGCACAGCAACAACAAAGGCGCACGGAACGCTTTGGTGTAGGGGAACCTCAAAGGCTTCAAACGAATAGGGGAATACTGTCACAGACGAACTAAGTATAAGTAATAAGAATTAGATCAGGACGATTCGCTGTTGGGTAAACCACTCTTGCAATGCTAACTGCTTATAGGAAGAAAAATACGAAACTAATCTTCAAATTGGGGACTCGGCCAATTTTTTTGAAACGTATGTAAATATATGTATGTATTTACCTACATATGTCCATATGATACCTTTACTGCAAGAGTGTCATAATCCAATAAATAAAAAACTCGAGAAAAACGGTCTTAAAGTTTAAGGTCACATATGCTCCCATGCTAAAAATGAAGACATCTTTTCTACTAATAGGGTAGGTACATATTGTTAATCGATACAGCTATGAAATTTTTACACAACATATAAGAAGAGGTGTGGCGGTCTTATTTAACTCAAAAAAAATAATTCTTGTGACACTCTTGCAGCAAAGGTACGTTATATGTTCCCCACAGCAAGACGAGTTGCAATTTTTTTGAATAACTCTGACTTTTCTTTAATAATAACAACAAACATTCATTAGCTCTACAGCCATATTACCAATCCAATGACATAACTCATCACACGCCAATTTCCTAACTACTGTTTCTACCACTATGCCGTAAAAACGTAAAGAGCACTAATGATGATAACTGTCAATGTAATTGTTATGATCTACCGAGTACCTGACAACGAGGAAATAATAGTGGTATTCACCAAATTAGGCAAGTGGCCGGGCACTCTGGCAAAAGAGCAGATGAGCTCAAGCAACGACTGTTGACAACTTTTTGCCAGACTGCCAGGCCACTTGCTCACTTTGGTGAATACCACTAATGTTATTATTCTGCGTCGTGGTTTTAAATAGGCTCAGGCTTGTCAGTGGCCTGCAAATAGGGCTGCTAATCACGAAAATTTTAAGCCCCACAAGACACAAACAATATTATTGTAGGAAAAATAAGTGTTAAAAAAAATACTTATATTTAATGAAAAAAGAATGCAGTCACAACAATCCCAAATGTTAATTAATATTCATATCTGGTAATGCAAGTTTTTTCCACCTGATCACACAAATTTTCATTTCTTTTTTTTTAATCTTTTAATGAATATTTTTTATTTACTAATAACATCATTTCGCAATGCAGTTCTATTTCTTCTGGTGAACCTCAGGGTTCAATCCTGGGTCCCATGCTATTCACAGTTTTTATCAAGGATATTGTCAAATGCTTGCAAAACGCATCAATACACTTGTATGCTGACGATACGCAGATCTACCTTTCGCGTCCGATTGGTCTTGGCGAGGATTTGAGGTGCAGACTAAATGATGACCTTACAAAATCGGTGACAGGTAATAAGGTCAATGGAAATAAGGTCAATTGACTGCGTAGCGTGACGTGGTGCGCGCCGGTCGCCGCGAAGCTAAACAAATTTAATGTTTGAAAGGGAAATAATGTCAAAGGATTTTATTTCGTTTTTAAAAAGGTAATAATGTCAATTGACTTTATTTCGCACCAGGGTGGGAAATAAAGTCAATTGACCTTATTTCCGTTGATCTTATTACCTGTCACCAAAAAATCATCAATCTGGTCAAAGGCAAATGGCCTTTGTTTAAATGCAGCAAAAATTCAGGTCTTGCCAATATGGCATGATTCCTTCGATCTCAGTGAATTATCCCCTATAGTGCTGGATGAAATCCAAATCACATTTCAATCTGTTGTGACGAACTTAGGCTTTAAATGAACTGTCGCCTAATTTGCACAGATCCCATCAGCTTTAGGATTACTAAAATTTACTATGTAGTAAGGTGAAATAGTTGCTATTATCTACCAGTTCAGATAAAACCTAAACTTGTAAAAACATTCATCATTCCTCTAATTTCTAATTCTGAGCTAGTATGTATATGGAAATCTCAGCCATGAATCTAAAACTAAGTTAAACCTAGCTTTTAATAATGCTGCGAGATTCATATATTGCAAACGAAAGTTTGATAATATTTCGATATACACCAAACGTACTCTCGGCTTCAGATTAGAAAATTATCTTAAGGTGCGAAGTATTATATTTCTATTTAAAATAATCAACCTTATTGTTTCATCTCGCACTAACAACATTGTCGTACCGAAATATAAAACTTTAACGACATCTAGATTATTCTTCATTAGTGGTGTCAGACTATGGACATGGTAATGAGTAGGGATGTGCCGGATATAGATTTTGCCGGATAACCGGATTCCGGATATCCTGTAAAAAATAACAGCCGGATTCGGATATCCGATCGGATATCCGGTAGACTGCTGCCTTTAATAAATTTCACAATATTGTTTTTTTTTCCGGCTCGAGTTCACCTCGACCTCCGCACCGTTTCTGATGCTACAGAATTTACCACTTCGAAAACACAATTACGCACACATCTGTGCGATAATATCGCAGTGATAAATGGCACCTTATAAACAAACAAAAAAAAATCTTCGTCAAATTCTTTGCTTTTGAACAATCAAGATGTTTTGTTTTCTTACGTTAATTTTTGTTTAAATTATACAGAACCCGCCTATTAAGTTTTTTCGTTTCCGAACGCGTAGGCCTGTAATTTCGGCACGACGAAATGAAGAGCTGTGGATGTTCCAATAAATAGTTGTGGCATTGTTGTCATTTTTTCAGAACAGATTCGCACTGTTTCAAAACTCGTGTTTTTTCTGACGCCAATAAAGCAAAAAACTGGGTTGCTGATGAACTAATTCGAAATTATAAATCAGTTAGTATGGAGAAACCAGTTGAATCATATGAAAAATGGTGAACTATAGTGAAAACTTCCATCGAAGATCGAGCTCACGAGGATATTTGGCAATGCTTTGAGGAAATCGCCAACGGCTCTGATGCTGATTCTAGTGTTTCTAGTGATATGGATAGCCAAACGATTGGTAGACAAGGCAGCGAACGTACAAGAAAAAAGGCAGCGATTTATGAAATAGAAATAGAGAAATATTTGCAGCTACCTCTTATATCCAGACAAGAAGATCGCTTAACTTGGTGGAAGTATAGCCGCAAAGAATTTCCAAATTTGTTTACACTGGCAATGAAGTATCTCTGCGCGCCACCTTCCTCAGTGAACTCGGAAAGAGTATTTAGTGCATCGGGTAACATTTATGTTGAAAATAGAAATAGGTTGTTGCCCGATAATGCGGAAATGCTTCTTTTCATAATGAAAAATATACAAATTGTTAACTCTGATTACTAATTAGAAACTATTAAATTGGATTACAAAAATACAAAATCTGGGTTAAATTTCTAAATTGAATCTTCTATAATCGATATCCGGAATCCGGCCGGATATTAGCCAGTATCCGGCCGGATAACCGGTTAACCAAAAAACGGCCGGATAGGCCGGATTCCGGATATCTACCGGATACCCGGCACATCCCTAGTAATGAGCAATATCAATTAAATGTGTAAAATCGGTTAGATGCCTTAAGACGGCAGGTACAGACCTCTTTTTGTAGTTATCTATTTATATGCTCTTCTCTATCCTCTCTTTTGTCACTCATTCTCTAATGATTTATTATCTCTGACTCCTTTTCAAGAACTTGGATAAGTCCTAGAATTTAAGCTTAGTTTAAGATTTAATCATGTAATTGAGAATGAAAAAAATTACAAAGAAAAGACTTTACGTCTTACCGTACTAATAACAATAAATAAATGATAGTAATATATAATAAAAGAAGAGGGAGTACCCAACAATTATATGGAATTCCCAAAATGTCATTTCAGCCGACCTACCTTTGATTAAAATTTGTAATTTTTTAGTATTAACGGATTAGAACGTTTTACAGTACGTCCACTCTTTGTGCCCCACAAGTTACTTCAAAGTTTCAAGAATATAAAAAAAATAATATTTAAATAAAATGTTTAAAACTTTCGTCGAGCATCGAAGACCTTAAATATATCGACGTTTAGTGATGAAACACCATGTCGTTGTTGTTGTTGTTGTAGCAGCATACAAGTTCCCCAAAGAGTGTTTGGGGAGTGTTGCTAAAGTGACAGTCCTTGGTCAAAATCTGGTTCGTTCCGGTTACGTAGACCCGACTGTCGTGGGAACGGATGAAACACCATCAACAGCCACTGTGTGAGAGAGTCATCCAAAATTAGTTTGAACGCCAGAAAACAGCGAGCTCTGCGCAGGCCGATAATGGAAGATCGTCATGTGACATAAGTACGGTCCTAGACATTCAGGCTCCTGCCATACAACAATATTGGATGAACGTTTGGCCGTAAGAAAGCTATAAGCGCTTTGGATCCCACATAATGTGGTAATCGTTCAAAAAACATGGAAGCGATCCGGTTTTCAGCCGGATCAACCGCTTTTTCTACTAATAAACTAAACCATTAACCGAACAGAAATTTTCCACAAAAGTTTCAGTTCAAAAGGTTCAATTCGACCAATTTTTGATACAGAAATTTTGCCCATTTTTTCATATAATAAATATGGTAATACAAATAACTTTTGTTTCTAGATGCTTTAAGATGTAAATTAACAAATTATATCAGGAGTTGGTGGGTGAGTTAAAGAAATATTTTTCTTCCCTCGTTCCTCGTTCCCAAAATTTTGACCATATACTCACAATCTCAATATCACATACAAAAAGTTCAGCTACTAACAAAAAAAGCGTCATATGTTTACGTGCTAAAAGTCAAAAAAGCTTGTCATATACCTAACTGGTTACATTCGGAGGGGAGAATGAAATCAAAGCCTCAAATAAATTTTGTAAGAATTAAGTATGTACATAAGTAGAAAAACAGCAAAATGTCTGTGAAATTCGTCAAATAGGATATTGCTGATAAAAGTTATATTTGCGTACATTTTTGGAACACCAAGTACTTGGAGTTTCGTATACTTTTAATAATTTTAATCATACTCGCCTTTATATTTATTTATTGAAGATATGTACATATGTATGAACATATGGTATATACAGTATCGGTCATCTCAAAAGCACCCCCATTTCATATTGTTTGCCACTTATGTTTATTTATTATTTTAAATAATTTTCAATTAAAATACAGTTTATTCTCTGACAAAACCATTAAAAACCGAACTTTAAAACTTTGTAGAAAACTAAAAGAAAATCAACAAATTTTCATCCATATTTCAAACTTTTTTTCTCAGAAGTGTAAAAAGTTTAAAATTTGCATGTAAATTGTCGCATTTTTTTAGTTTTCTTCAAAGTTGTAAACTTGGGGTTACATGATTTTTGTTAGAGAATGAACTGAACTTTAAAATTCGTAAAAATAGATAAATCAACATAAGTGGCAAATGATATAACTTTGCGATGGGGGTGCTATTGATATTACCGATATAGAAACAAAATTAGCTAAATGATCATCTTTCTTGTACATTGATAGATGAGCTAACATTTTTTAATTTTTAGTTACGGGTGGGCCATTTTCACTGTGAGCCACTGTATATACTATATAGTACATACATATACAAATGTGTATGTATATCTAAATTTTATTACTCGCGACTACCACACATCATCGTCACAAGGCATAGACACAGCCACACTCACTGTCGGCCATACCAAGAGCAATATTAGCACTGTAACTACCACAGCCACCTTTTCCTCCACCTCCTCGAGAACGAAAATAACATCAAGACTAGCGAAGCGTCAAAGCCAATGCAGCATGGTGAATGGTCTCCCGTTATTGGCGACGAACGATGGCTTCAAGCAGCAGTAATTGCAGCTGTCG